CCCGACGAATCCCAACCGGATCTACGCCTCCAGCGAGGACAACGGCGTCTGGCGGAGCGACGACCGGGGCTTCAACTGGTTCGCGATCAACGGGGGCCTCTTTAACGAATTCGTCACAGCCTTTACCATCGACGTGAACGACCCCGGGACCATCTACGCGGGCACCGAAGGCGGCGGCGTCTTCAAGCTCGACCAGGACCCCTGACCGTGTTGCGGAACGTCGATGCTCGCAGGTGACCTCACGACGATCGTCCGGAACCCCCTCGCGCGGACCGTCCTCATCGGACTGGTCGGCCTGCTCGGCGGGCTCGCGCTCGTCTTCATCGCCACGACCCTGAGCCCGGTCATGGCCCTCGCCGCGTTCGTCGCGGGCGTGGGCGGCCTCGTGCTGTTCAAGCAGCCCGTCTGGGGGCTCTACGCTCTCGCGTTCTCCGTCCCGCTCGAGCGGTTCGGCCGACTCACGGACGACACCTCCAACTTCAACATCTCCGTCAGCCGCGGCCTCGGCATGGCGTGCTTCGCGGTGGTCGTCGTCCGGCAGATCGTCCTGCACAAAGAGATCTACGTCAGCCGCCACCTCATCGCGTGGGCCTTCTTCGTGGCCTTCGGCATCATGACGCTGTTCTACACGTCGGATTTCGATGGCGGTGTGAAGATCGCCGGCGGCTACGTGGGGAACATCCTCTTCCTGTTCATCATCCTGAACCTCACCCTGGCGCCGACGTTCACCGAGACCCTCAACCGCGTGAACACGTGCGTCTACCTCTGGCTCGGCGCGTCGATGCTCATCGCGCTGTACTCCATCTACGATTGGCACCTCGGCTCCGGCGCGGGCAACGTCATCCAGGTCGGCGAGGTCGACCCCCAGGCCGGCGCTCAGGTCACCGAGAACCGCTGGTCCACCGTCTGGTACGACAGCGCCGAGTTCGAAACGCTCGGCGGCGCCGGGGGCATCCGCCGCTCCATGGGCTCGACGTCCCACGCCGCGGTCTTCGGCATCAACCTCGCCATGACCATCCCGTTCTTCTTCTACGTCCTGAAGACGAACGGCTCCCGGGTCATCCACGCCGCGGTGTGGGTCGGGCTGGCGATGACGATGTACTGCACGCTCCTGAACAACACCCGCGCGGCGCTGCTTCTGGTGGCGGGCGTCCTGGGGCTCTGCGTGCTGCTCGGGCTCCTCCGCGTGACATTCTGGCTCGTGATGCTCGGGATCGGCGTCGTCGCGGCCTCGCCGCTGTTCATCCCGGTGGACATCTTCAAACGCGTCCTCGACCTGCAGAACTACACCTCGGGCAAGTCCGAGGCGATGCGGATCCGGCTCGATTACTGGGACTCCGGGCTCCGCGCCTTCGCCGATCACTGGGTCCAGGGCGCCGGCCTCGCCAACCAGAAGATCGCCATCGAGTACCTCCGCAACCCGATCCCCGGCAAGTCCCACATGCACAACATCTACCTCCAGACGCTCGTGGACGTCGGGATCTTCGGGTGGGCGCTCTTCATCGCGTTCATCGCCGGGGTCACCGCCACCGTCTGGCACGCCCGCATGCGGTACCGCTCGCTCGACCTGCCGCAGTCGTACTGGTTCGCCACCGCGTCGTTCATCCTCGTGATCTCCGTGCTCGTGTACGGGCTGCAGGTGGACGTCTTCTACTTCCCGCTCAAGGCGTTCTGGCTTATCGTGGGCCTCACCATCGTGATGGCGAGGTATTCCGACACCCTCTGGCGACGACGCGATCGCCTCCCCGAACTGCTGGAGCCGACCGGGTCATGACCGACACGCCGAAATTCGACGTCGCCGTCATCTCCATCGGCGTCAACGCCAAGCGCTTCGTCCGCGAGTGCCACGAGTCCCTGCGCACCTGCGACTGGGGCGGCCTCACGCACGAGGCGATCTACGTCGACAACGGCTCCACGGACGGCACGCTCGAGATGATGGCGGAGGAATTCCCCGAGGCGAGGGTCATCGCGAACGGGAAGAACCTCGGCTTCTGCATCGCCGCCAACGCCGGCTGCCGCGCCGCGAGCGCCCGCTACTACCTCGTCATCAATGACGACGTCGTCATCGAGAACGACGCCGTTCCCAAGCTCGTCGAATACATGGACGCCAACCCCAACGTCGCCACCACCGGCGCCCGGCTCGTCTCGCCCGACCGATCCGACCAGTGGTCCGGCCGGCGCAACCCGGACATGCTCTCCTCGATCTTCAGCCGCCGCGGCATCCTCAACAAGCTCTTCCCGAAGTTCAAGGTCGCCAAGGACTACTGCTGCAAGGACGAGGTCGCCAAGGGCGAGCCCTTCGAGTGCGACTGGGTCTCGGCCGCGGGGCAGATCATCCGGCCAGAGCACTTCTGGGAAGTCGGCGGCTACGCCGAGGATTACTACTACTGGCACGAGCTCGTGATGTGCAACCGGATGAAGAACAAGGGCCACGCCGTCGCGCTGCACCCGGGCGCGATCATCATGCACTACGAGGGCTTCGGCTCCGGGCCGCGCCCGTTCAAGCGCCAGCGCTGGCACATCAAGGATTTCCACATCGGCGCCTACCGCTCGTACCGCGAGCTCCACGGTCACGGCCCGCTCCACCCGATGAGCCTCTTCACCGCGGGCGCCCTCACCGCCCGGGCGCTGATGCTGCTCGGCGTCGCCGGGGTCTCGAGTATCACCCGCGGCGGCGGATCATCCAAGAACACACCGGGCAGCGCCGTGGCGGCGGGGACACCATCATGAGCACCGAAACGACCGCGACCGAGATCCACCACGCCGATGGGCCCACGACCGAGATCTTCCCGGTCCCCGTCGTCTGCCCGCTCTGCCGCTCGTCCATGACGGCCAGCGGCGAGGACATCGACTGTGCGCCCTGCGAGAAGACGTACGGCCACACCCTCGGCTTCCCCGACCTGATCATCGGCGACCGCTTCGACGACGAGTCCAGCGACGAGCTGCTCTGCGGCGAAGAGAACAACACGGTCTACACGATCAACAACTACTGGATCCCCAAGTTCAAAGGCCTCGCGCCCGGCGGCGAGGCCCCCGCGCGGATCCTCTCCCTCGGGTGCGGCGCGGGGATGGAGGTCGACCAGCTCCGTGAATCCGGTTTCAACGCGGTGGGCATCGACAACGGCAACCGCACCCGCGTCTGGACGCGCCGGAGCCACAAAGACGCGCTGTACATGGCGAACGGGATGCACCTCCCGTTCGAAGACGGCACGTTCGACGCCGCGTTCTGCGGGTGCGTCTTCCCGCACGTGGGCGTGCAGGGCGATTCGTTCGTCGTCCGGGACGATTACTGGGAGCAGCGCCTCCGGGTCGCCCGCGAGATGACGCGCGTCGTCAAGCCGGGCGGTTCGATCATCGTCTCCTCGCCCAATCGCCTCTTCCCGCTCGACCTCTTCCACGGGCGGGACATCGGCTCGTACAAAACGCCCTTCAACCCGCCCTGGCGGAAATTCCTGCTCTCCAAGGGCGATTACGCCCGCCTCTTCCGCGAGGCCGGCTGCAACGGGCCCGCGAGGGCGGATTCCATCAAGGGATACTGGGGCTTCTGCCGAACGAAGAACAGCCTCAAGGGCCGCCTCGTCTCGATCCCCGTCAAGATGCTCTTCGGGCTCGGGTCGAACCAGCTGACGCCCTTCCTCCGCGCCTCGCCCCTCCTGCCGTGGATCGTCGTTCGGATCACGAAGTGAACGAAAAAGAGCAACACGACGCGCACGGGGACGAACGGGCCGCGCGCACCCTGCGCGACCTCGCGCTCGTCGTGGCCGGCAAACTCCTCGCCGTTGGCGCGCTGTTCGCCTGCTCGATCATCGCGGCGAGGATGATGGGCCGCGACGAGTTCGGCTTCTACTCCACCGCCATCGCGATCATCCTGCTCATCGACGCGGTCGCGGGCTCGCCGCTCGATTACGCCGCGGTCCGCTTCGGCGCGGTGTACGCGAACGAGCCCAAGCGCACGCACCGCTTCCAGGCGGCGACGTTCCGGCTCAAGCTCGCGATCGCCGGCGTCTTCATCGCCGCCGGCGCCATCGCGAGCGGGCCCCTCGCGGCGCTGTTTTTCGAGGATGCGTCGCGCCGCACGCTCGTGTACATCGTGCTCGCCTCGGCGCTCGCGCTGCTGCTCGTCCGGGGGACAGCCGCGTCGCTCCAGATCGACAAACGCTTCAAGCTCTACTCCGCGTTCGACGCGGTCCAGGCCGTCGCCCGCCTCGCGTTCCTCGCCGCGGCGCTGCTCCTCGGCGCCCGCGCCGCCGAGCCGCTCGTGGGCGTGTTCGGGGCCTCGGCGATCACGTTGTTCGTGCTCTTCCTCGTGCTCGTGAGGCAGCCCTACCTCACCGCGAAGTGGCCCGAGAAGCGCGACGCGCGGGAGATCATGGGCTTCATCTCTGCCACGACGGGCATCATCGTGCTGGGGACGATCACCGGGCGCGCGGACATCCCCATCGTCAGCGCCACGACCGACCCGGAGACCACCGCCGTCTACGCCGTCGCCGCCCAGCTCTCGATGCTCGCGATGATGCTCGCGAGCTACGCCTGCATCGTCTTCCAGCCGCGCGTGATCGCGTTCGCCAGAGCCGGCAAACTCCCCCGGATGATCGCCGCGAACGCCGTCGGCGCGGCGATCATCGGCGCGCTCGCGACCCCCGTGGCCATCTGGGGCCTGCCGATCATCGTGCCCGCGATCTACGGCGACGCCTACGCCGGGAGCGTCCCGCTCCTGCAGATCCTGCTCATCGGCACCGTGATCGACATCCTCTTCATGCCGGTGATGATGACCTTCGCGCTGCAGGTCCGCCCGAAGCGGGCCCTGCTGGGCGAAGCGTTGATCCTCGCGGGGTTCTTCGCGTGCGTGCCGCTCGTGGGCAGCGGGGGAGCGGTCGCCATGGCGTGGGTGATGACCGGCGTGCGCGTGGCGAAGATGGCGCTGTACGCGCTGATCACGCTCACGTCGATGAACGGTGAACTCCCCGAGGCCCGGGACGACGGCGTGGGCGACGAGGCGATCAGAGCAGGTTCGTCTGCTCGCTGAGCACCGGCAGCTTCGCGTCACGCCCGGACAGCTGCACCCTGGCGTGGTCCACGCCCCAGTCGATGCCGAGCGCCGGGTCGTTGTAGATGATCCCGTGCTCGCTCTGGGGCGCGTACGAGGCCGAGGACTTGTAGCAGATGTGCGTGTCCGGCTCGAGCGTCAGGATGCCGTGCCCGAAGCCCTTGGGGACGAGGATGGTCTCGCCCTTCGTCGACGTGAGCTTCGCGATCGCGTGCTTCCCGAACGTCGGCGAGCCCTCCCGCAGGTCCACCGCCACGTCCAGCGCCGAGCCCGTCACCACGCGGACGAACTTGTCCTGCACGTGCTCGCCCACCTGGTAGTGGATGCCGCGCATCGTGAACGGGAGCTTCGAGAACGCGTGGTTGTCCTGCACGAAATCGATGTCGAATCCCAGCTCCGCGAGCGTGTGACGGTTGTGCGACTCGCAGAACCACCCGCGGTCGTCCCCGAACCGTCGCGGCACGAAGACCTTGACCTCGTCGAGGGCGGTGTCGATCACTTCAAGGTTGGGGTGCGTGGCGCTGGTCATGACCGGCCGACCGCCTGCTTCTGGTGCTCGCCGCGGAGGATCTCGTCCCACCACGCCTCGTTGTTCTTGTACCACTCGATGGTCTGCTCGAGGGCCGCGGGCCAGTCCGAGTGCTCGGCACGCCAGCCGAGTTCCTTCTGGATTTTGCTCGAATCGATCGCGTACCGCCGGTCGTGACCGAGGCGGTCCTCGACGTACTCGATCATCTCCTCGCCGTGGCCCATGAGCTCGAGGATCAGCTTGGTCAGCTCGAGGTTCGACCGCTCGTTGTCCGCGCCGACGTTGTAGATCTCGCCGGCCGCTCCGCGCTCGAAGACCGCGAGCACGGCGCTGCAGTGGTCTTCGACGTGCAGCCAGTCGCGGACGTTGAGCCCGTCGCCGTACAGCGGCACCTTCTTCCCGCGGATCAGGTTCGTCACGAAGAGCGGGATCACCTTCTCCGGGAACTGACGCGGGCCGAGGTTGTTCGAGCAGCGCGTGGTGACGATGTCCATCCCGTAGGTGTGGTGGTACGCCTGGCAGAGCAGGTCCGCGGAGGCCTTGGTGGTGGCGTAGGGCGAGCGCGGCTGGATCTGCGAGTCCTCGGTGAACAGCAGCTCGGGTCGGTCGAGCGGGAGCGAGCCGTACACCTCGTCCGTGCTCATGAACGCCATCCGGAGGTCACGCCCGCGCATCTGCGCGTCGCGGAGCGAATCGAGGATCACCTGCGTCCCGAGGATGTTCGTCCGGACGAAGGGGGAAGCGTCGTTGATCGAGCGGTCGACGTGGCTCTCGGCGGCCATGTGGATCACGCCGTCGCACTGCTCGACGAGCTCGTCGACCAGCTCTCGGTCGCAGATGTCGCCGACCACGAGGCGGTGGCGGGATTCGTCGATCCCCTCGAGGTTGCGCACGTTCCCGGAGTAAGCGAGCAGGTCGAGGTTGATGATCGACCAGTCCGGCCTCTCCCGCAGGACGTGGTGCGCGAAATTGGCACCGATAAACCCGGCGCCACCGGTAATAAGCACGGTGCGTTTCATGCGACTCCTCTGCGGCTCAGGGTAGCGTCTCGCGGTGACGGCGTCTCAGATGTTCGCGGCCAAGCCGTTGGAACGGGCGAATTCGAGCTTGTTCGCGCCCGTCTTGGACACCAGCGTCGAGGCCCGGAGCAGCGCGTCGTGCGTCCCCGCGTCGATCCACCAGCCCTCGAGTTCGTCGTGCGTCAGGCGGCCCTGCTCGAGGTACGCTCGGTTCACGTCCGTGATCTCGAGCTCGCCCCGGTCGCTCGGGACCTGCTCGCGGCAGATATCGAAGACCGTGCGGTCGTAGAAGTAGATGCCGATCACCGCCAGATTCGAGGGCGGGTTCGCGGGCTTCTCGATGATGTCCGTGATGCGGCTCGCGGGGCCGTCTCCGTCCATCGCGACGACACCGAACCGCTCGGGGTCCGGGACCTGCTTGAGCAGCACCTTGGCCCCGCCGCCCTGTTTGCGGAAAGCGTCGGCGGCCCCGGCGATATTGCCCTCGACGATGTTGTCGCCCAGGATGACGCAGATGTCGTCCCCGTCCGCGAAAGCCTCCGCGAGCGAGAGCGCGTCCGCGATGCCGCCCTCGCCGTGCTGGTAGGCGAAGCACAGCTGCTTCAGACCGAAGGCCTCACCGTTGCGCAGCAGATTGAAGAACTGACCCGCGTGCGGCCCGCCCGTCACGACCATGATCTCGTCGATCCCGGCGTTCTTCAGGCATTGGATCGGGTAATACACCATCGGCCGGTCGTAGACCGGGAGCAGGTGTTTGTTGGTGATGTTGGTGAGCGGGCGCAGACGCGTCCCGAGACCACCCGCTAATACGACACCCTTCATATTCGACCTTCTCCCTGACAGACCCCGAAACAATAGGGGCTCTGGATCCCTCTCGCTTCAACGAGTCTACGATTCGCTTATCCCACTTCAAGGGATGATTTCCGGACAGACGCGATATTCTCCGAACTCGAAGGGATATCGGATCAAACGCACCCCGATTGCGGTCCGATCCGGGGATTCGGTCACGGAATCAAGCGAAAATGCGGTTTCACGAGCCGCGGGCGTGGCCCATCGACATCAGAACCGCGATCGCGTCGCGGAAGGTGACGGCCCCGTCGCCGTCGCGGTCGAGGCGTGTGCCGGCAGGGTCGGAACCGATGCGCACCACGACGCCGATCACGTCCGCGAAATCGACCGCGCCGTCGCCGTTGATGTCGGCGGGCAACGCAGCCGATGCGAACACGCTCGACACGAAGTTTGAGGGCACGCCGTCCACGGTGAGTTGGATCGTCGCACGCCCTGGCACGATGCCCGAAGGGACGACGAACGCCACGGTGTACCGATTCAGCCGGTCGCCGTAGAAGCCGGTGTCGAAGACGCTCACCGGCTCGCCGTCGATCTCGAGCGTGACCTGCGACGCGACGTCGATCCCGTCGAGCGTCGCCGAGGCCTCGCCGTCGGGCAGCGGCGGCTCCGTGCGTCCGAGACGCTCGGCGATGAGCAGCACCGCTTCGCCGGCGACCGCGGGGTTGCTCTCGCTGATCGGCGAGAGGTCGCTCAGGCGGAGGAGCATCGCGTCCGGGTACTCGGGGATGAGCACGAAGTCCTTGTGGCTCGTGTCCGACTCGGGCGCCAGCGTGCCGGATTCGTTCTGAGTCAGGATGCGCGGCGCGGCGCTCGCGACCGGGCGCACGACGCCGTCGCTCGGCAGGCCGTTGGTCTGCACGCGGACGATCGCGTCGGCCCCGTCGAGCGCCCAGGGGACGATGAATTCGATGCGGCTCTGAGAGACCGACCGGAGCGGCGCGGGCACGCCGTTGATGAGCACCTGCGCGCCCTCGACGAAGAGCGGGTACGGCGGGTCGCTGATGACCGCGTCCGCGTTCGCGAGGCCCGAGCCGGTCACGCTCATGAACGCGCCGGGGACAAGCGGGCCGTCGCGGAGCGAGTCTTCGGAGAGAACCGGGCGCGGGTAGGGCTGCCCGGCGGTGGTGACCGGGGCGGGCGGTGTCGGCTCGCTCAGCTCGCCGAGGTAGTCGAATGACCGGAGGCGGATGTCGTACGACGTGCCCGGGAACACGCCCTCGACGATGCTCGTGGTCGTCGGCCCGACCGAGGTGAACTCGGTGTACTCGTCGCTCGAGGCGGGCTTGTATTCGATGAGGTAGCCCGCCACCGTCGCGCCCGTCGGGGGCGTCCAGGCCATCTCCAGCGCCAGACCGTCGGTTCGGGACGCCACGAAGACGTTGACCGGCGGAGCCGGGGGCGGGGCGTCGATCGGGTCGGCGAGAACCACGATGCCGTCGCCCGCCGGGAGTGTCAGCCCGGCGCTGACGGGCATACCGGAGTTGACCGCGGGGTCCTGCGTTCCGGCGATGCGGCGCAGGCCCGTCCGCCCGAGCGGACCCTCGATCTGCGTTTGCGGGATGAACTGCGCGTCGGGCGTCGGGTTGACGAGGACGACGCCGCCCTCGAAATCGCGCCGGAAGACACAGCCGGGCCCTTCGAGCAGGCGGATGTTGTCGATCGCGACGCGGATCCCGTCCGCGAGGTGGATGTACGCGCTGGCGAGGGGCTCATCGGGCTTGACCACGGCGCGGAGCGTGAGCGTCTGGCCGACGCCCTCGATGTCCTGGTGGTACGCGTACGAGCGGCCGTTGAAATCGATGGCGAACTGGTCCGGGTTGATCCCGAGGAAGAACCCGCCGCTGTAGTACCGCGGCGTGTACTCGAGGACCTTGAAGTCCGCGCTGAACTCGTACGTCTGGCCCGGCGTGAGCGGTGTGTCGACGGGGTGGGACGCGAAGACGAAGTAATCCGTCGGCTCATCGAACGTCGCGATGATCGAGCGGTTCCCGTCGATCACGTGCGCGGGGTCCTCGGTGACCTCGACAAATCCGAAGTTCACGCCCGGGGGCGGCGTGCCCTCGAAGTCGATGTTGAAGACCTCGGTCTGCGCGCCGGGAAGCTCGACGCGGGCGCCGAGCGGCTGGCCCAGGTAGCCCTTGTCCTCGACGGCTCCGGTCGCGACGCCGCTCGCGTCGACCGCGTACTCGTCGAACCACTGCGGGCCCGTGGTGTTGTCCACGAGGTCGTACCCGAAGTAACCGTCGTCGAGCAGGACGCTGGTCAGGCCGAGGCGCATGCGCCGGAAATCCGACGGCTCGAGCTGGTCAACCCGAAGCGGCAGGCCGTGCCCGGAGACGCGGTCCTCGAAGACCTCGCCGATGCCGCGGCCGGTGAACTGCACGTTAATCGCCTGCGGGGCGAGCGCGAGTCGGCACGCCGCCTCGTAGTTGCGGAAAAAGTCGTACCACGCGGCGGCGCGGTCGGTGTCCCACGCGCCGTTCTCGTCGATCGCGTAGGGCGAGAACAGCTCCTGCTGCCAGCCGTTGAGTTTCGCGAGGAAGCTCGGGTTCAGCGGGATTCGCCCGGAGTTGCCGAACAGCACGCGGTGCGAGCCCTGGGCCTGGCGCATCTTCGAGAAGTAGTCGAGGAAGCCGAGCTGGTGCATGAGGTGCAGGAAGGGCAGCTCGTCGGCGATCCCGTCTCGGTCGAGGTCGATGGGCGGGAGCGGGCCGTTGATCGTTTCCGCGAGCAGGGGGTTGGGGTAGAACTCGGCCTGATCGTAGTGCAGCCCGTCCCACAGCCCGGTCGGGAAGACCTTGTTGTTGAGGAACCGGGCCATGTAGTCGTTGAACGTGTAGCCGGACTCGACCGGGCAGAGCGGCGTGTGGTCCATCTGGAGGTTGTCCGGCCAGATGGGCTCGGTGAGCGGCTCGCCGTCGGGGTTGAGCACGACCCAGGACTCGGCGAGCCCCTGGTTGAAGATCGCCTCGATGTTCGCCGATCCCCCGACGGGCGTGTCGTTCTCGATGTTCTGCGTCAGGAACGCGATGCGGTAGGGGAGCAGCGTGATGCTCGGGTTGATCGCGCGGAGTCGGTCGACCCACGCGGTGGACCCCAGCGTGTGGTCGATGCCGACGCCGTTGACGAGGTCGTACTTGCCGAGGGTTTCCTCGACGTCGCGCACGCGAAGGCTGTTGAACCGCGCGGTCTCGTGCGGCGCGGAGAAGTTGTAGTTGCCCAGACGCGGGTACCCGCGGGAGACGATCCCCGGCTCGCTGCGCACGAATCGGCGGTCGTGGCGGTACACCGCGATGTTGTCGATGATCGCCTCGCCGTCCAGCGTGATCACGGCGAGCGTCGGGCTCTCGCCCTCGCCGAAGCGGAACTGGCGCGAGACGCGACCGGACGGCTCGTTGAGCGACGGGCGGAGCCCGATCCTCTCCGCGAAGTACTCGCTCGGCGTGCCCCACTTGCCCAGAGAGAGCTGGACGACGTCGAGGTCGCCCTCGTCCACGATCGTGTAGTCGTAGGCGATCTCGTACACGAAGCCCGCCTGGAGGGCGAGCATCTCCGCGTCGATCTCGACGAGCGCGTCGGTCGGCATGCGGAGAGAGCGGGCGCCGCCGATGACGTCCTGCGTGCCCTCTTCAAGGGTCGCGCCGCTAAACAGGAAGACCCCCTCGAGACCGGCCTCCAGGTCGGTCTCGAAGAGCACCGTGCGTTCCTGAACGTAGCTGTTGTCCGGGTGGGCGTAGCCGTCCGCCGGGGGGAGCGCCACCTGGGCGACCGAGGGCAGCGTGACGGCGGCGGTCGCGAGACTGGCGATGGTGCAGTGCAGGCGTCTCATCTCGGATGATCGAACCTTCTACGAGCTGATTTCATTCGGACAAATTCGGTGCAAATCGGACGCGAAGCCCGCCCGATTCATCCTACGAGCCGGAATCGGAGGTGTCAGAGGAAATCTGACGATGCGGCCGGAATTGCGCACGGGCACGCCGCATGACCGTGCACCGCCGCTCAGCCCGTGCAAGGCCCGTAAGACAGGAGCACCGAGAACAGGTCGTCGACCCCCACAGACCCCGTACCGTCCGGGTCGCACGCGTCCGAATCGGACGGCTCGCCGATTCTCGCGAGCACGCCGAGCAGGTCGTCGAAATCCACGATGCCCG